CATCATCATCAGCAGCAGCAGCATCATCACCACCATCACCGTCGTCACCATCATAGCCGTGGTAGTTGTCGCCAACCTAGGCACGAAAATTGATGACAGGGAAAGAAAAGGCATTCAGACACAAAAGAAGAACAAAAATGAACAAAATATATCCATAGCCAAACCAACCAGCACGCAGTCACACAACAGCAATTGTATGTTGCCGTGGTGGAATAGAATTTGCATCAAATCAGTTTCTTTTTGATCAACTAAGTGACAGCACGCAGCAAGAGTCGGTAAGAACTTGGAACTACAACGGTGCAGCGATGATGCCGCGCTGCGTGAGATGGTGGTGGTACACAAAAACAATCAACTAAATTAAGGCTACACAGTATTGTAGATATAGATGAATGTAGAACATGTCAAATTATATTGTTACACACGCAAATATATATATAGGTATATATATATATATTTACATATATATATATATTTACATACACACATGAATGTATACATACATATCAAAAATGTAGCAATGTGGATATATGCATGTATGTATGTATGGATGGATGTATGTATGGATGGATGGATGGATGGATGGAATGTGTGTATGTATGTAATGTAATGTAATGTAATGTAATGTAGTGTAGTGTAGTGTAGTGTAGTGTAGTGTAGGTATGTATGTATGTATGTCTGTGTGTGTATGTATGTATGTATGTATGTATGTATGTATGTATGTATGTAATATAATGTAATGTAATGGTATGTAATGGTATGTATTGGTATGTAATGGTATGTATGTAGTGGTATGTATGTAATGGTATGTATGTAATGGTATGTATGTAATGGTATGTATGTAATGGTATGTATGTAATGGTATGTATGTAATGGTATGTATGTAATGGTATGTATGTAATGGTTGTAACAATGGTATGTATGTAACGGTATGTATGTAATGGTATGTCTGTAATGGTATGTATGTAATGGTATGTATGTAATGGTGTGTATGTAATGGTATGTATGTAATGGTATGTATGTAATGGTATGTATGTAATGGTTGTAACAATGGTATGTATGTAACGGTATGTATGTAATGGTATGTATGTAATGGTATGTATGTAATGGTATGTATGTAATGGTATGTATGTAATGGTATGTATGTAATGGTATGTATGTAATGGTATGTATGTAATGGTATGTATGTAATGGTATGTATGTAATGGGATGTATGTAATGGTATGTATGTAATGGTATGTATGTAATGGTATGTATGTAATGGTATGTATGTAATGGTATGTATGTAATGGTATGTATGTAATGGTATGTATGTACTGATATGTATGTAATGGTATGTACGTAATGGTATGTATGTAATGGTATGTATGTATTGGTATGTATGTAGTGGTATGTATGTATTGGTATGTATGTATTGGTGTGTATGTATTGGTATGTATGTATTGGTATGTATGTATTGGTATGTATTGGTATGTATTGCTATGTATTGGTATGTACTGGGATGTATTGGGATGTATTTGTATGTATATATGTATGTATGTAATGTCATGTCATGTCATGTCATGTATATAATGTAATGTAATGTGATGTGATGTGATGTAATGTAATGTAAAGTAAATGTATGTATGTATGTATGTATGTATGGTAATGTAATGTAATGCAATGCAATGGAATGCAATGCAAGGTAATGTAATGTTATGTTTTGTTATATATATTATGTTATGTTATGTTATGTTATGTTATGTATGTATGTATGTATGTATGTGTGTGTGTATGTATGTATGTATGTCTGTCTCTCTGTCTGTCTGTCTGTAAGTATGTATGGTATGGTATGGTATGGTATGGTATGTATGTATGTATGTATGTTGGTTGTGTAATGTAATGTAAATGATGTGATGTGATGTAATGTAATGTAAACTTATCTTATCTTACCTAATCTAATCTTATCTTACCTAATCTTATCTTATCTTATGTTATGTTATGAAATGTTATGTTATGTTATGTTATGTTATGGTATGTATGTATGTATGTATGTATGTATGTATGTATTTACGTATGTATGTAATGTATGTGATGTATGTAATGTATGTCATGTATGTACGTAATGTATGTAATGTATGTAATGTATGTAATGTATGTAATGTATGTAATGCATGTAATGTATGTAATGTATGTAATGCATGTAATGTATGTACGCAATGTATGCAATGTATGTAATGTATGTATGTAATGTATGTAATGTATGTAATGTATGTATGTAATGTATGTAATGTATGTAATGTATGTATGTAATGTATGTAATGTAATGAATGTAATGTATGTAATGTAATGTATGTAATGTATGTAATGTATGTAATGTATGTATGCAATGTATGTAATGTAATGTATGTAATGTATGTAATGTAATGTAATGTAATGTAATGTAATGTATGGAAAGTATGTAATGTATGTATGTAATGTATGTATGCAATGTATGTAATGTAATGTATGTAATGTATGTAATGTAATGTAATGTAATGTAATGTATGGAAAGTATGTAATGTATGTATGTAATGTATGTAATGCATGTGATGTATGTAATGTATGTAATGTATGTAATGTATGTAATGTAATGTTATGTTATGTTATAGTATGTTATGGTATGTTATGGTATGTTATGGTATGTATGTATGTAAGGATGGATGGATGGGTGGGTGGATGGGTGGATGGATGGATGTATGTATGGTATTTATGGTATGTATGGTATGTATGGTATGTATGGTATGTATTGGTATGTATGGTATGTATGGTATGTATGGTCTGTATGGTATGTATGGTCTGTATGGTATGTATGGTATGTATGGTATGTATGGTATGTATGGTATGTATGGTATGTATGTATGTATGGTATGTATGTACGGTATGTATGTACGGTATGTATGTACGGTATGTATGTATGGTATGTATGTATGATATGTATGGTATGTATGGTATGTATGGTATGTATGGTATGCATGGTATGCATGGTATGCATGGTATGCATGGTATGCATGGTATGCATGGTATGCATGGTATGCATGGTATGCATGGTATGCATGGTATGCATGGTATGCATGGTATGCATGGTATGCATGGTATGCATGGTATGCATGGTATGCATGGTATGTATGGTATGTATGGTATGTATGGTATGTATGTATGGTATGTATGTATGTATGTATGTAATGTATGTATGTATGTGTGTATGTATGTATGTATGTAATGTAACGTAATGTAATGTAATGCTGTGTAATGTAATGTAATGTTTTGTAATGTAATGTTATTTTATGGTTTGTTATGTTATGTTATGTCTGTCTGTCTGTATGTATGTTCTGTCTGTCTGTCTGTCTGCCTGCCTGCCTGCATGCATGCATGTATGTATTTATGTCTGTATGTATGTATGTATGTTATGTAATGTAATGGAATGTAATGTATTGTAATGTAATGTAGTGTATGTATGTATGTAATGTAATGTAAGTATGTAATGTAAGTATGTAATGTAAGTATGTAATGTAAGTATGTAATGTAAGTAGGTGAGGAAGGAAGTAAGTAAGTAAGTAAGTCTGTATGTATGTATGTATGTATGAATGTTGGTTGTGTAATGTAATGTAATGTAAAGTGATGTGATGTGATGTGATGTAATGTAATGTATGTATTGTATGTCATGTATGTATGTAATGTTATGCTATGTTATGTATTGTTACGTTACGTTATGTTATGGTATGGTATGGTATGTACGTAGTTGGGTATGTAGGTGGGTAGGTAAGTAGGTAGGTATGTTTGTATGTTTGTATGCTTGTATGCTTGTATGTTTGTATGTATGTATGTATGTATGTATGTATGTATGTATGTATGTATGTATGTATGTATGTATGTAGTGTAACGCAACGCAACGTAACGTAAGGTAACATAATGTAATGTAATATAATGTAATGGTATGTATGTACGTACGTACGTACGTGTATATGCATGCATGCATGCATGCATGCATGCATGCATGCATGCATGCATGTATGTATGTATGTATGTATGTATGTATGTATGTATGTTCGTATGTTCTGTCGATATCACCTCCAAGATGCTGTTTACTGTATAGTAACTGCGAAAACACACACACATATGTATGGGTGTCCAGGTGCTGCTACCTGCCTATTGGTGGCCAGCCAGGCAGCTTGTGCAACTTGACTTTCGGAGTTTGGGATTTGGACGCTGGAGCAGCATTGAGAGGAATGAAACAGCAGCAGGAAAGATGGAATATGAATACTTGCAGGTGATGCGGAGACGTTCAGGCCAGTTATACCTCGAAGTCTTGTCCATGGCTGCCATAACACCATTAGGGTTTGACTTTCGCTGACTGCAAGATTGAAAGATTCGGAAGGCTTCATGCGACATCGTGCGAAGCATCGTGCGAAGGCCAGGTTTGTCCTCAAGTGAAGTGTGAGAGAAACTTAGTGGACAGGTAGACACTTGGGGCCTGTCCACTATGTTGAACAAACTGTTGTTGCTGCCATTTGCTGCCTTTTTTCTGCGTGCCAGGCAAATGATGCAGGAACAGATGGACCCAAGCAAAGCCGGGGCAAGGCTATCATGCAGGCATTTCTGTGGTGCTTGTCATCTTGTGGCCGCATGTGAATTGTCCTGCAAGATCTGCAAGACTGAATTGAAATCCTTGCTCAAACTCGCTGTCGCTTGAGTTGGTTTCCACTGCCCGAAACTTGGATCTCAAGTTTAGACCTGTCCATGTCATGACTGATGCTTCCATCATTGCCATTGCCAATAAAAGTTTTTCACAACAGTATCAGCAACACCATTTTCCCATAATTCACCCAGCTATACTTTGTAAATGCATTCTAAATAAAGTTCCACGACAGAGTCATGATGAGTCGTGTTTTTGAATGCAGATGATCCGTCACAACATCGCAACATCGTAACATGTTCAGCACAGACTCAACACGGACTATGCCGTTTTTGATGTTACCTCTGGCATGGGTTTGACGGAGCCCGGGCCGGGTGCAAAGATAAGATGCCATATCCACCAGGCTGCCCTGTCCTGAGAAAAAACGCCTCAGGCTTTTGTAGTGACACAGTCTAGTGACCACACGGAGAGTCACAGTGACGGGCATTCTCACCATCTAGACATATAAGCAAGGTGTATCAATGTGTTGTGAATCCTGCTTAGGAAAGAACCCGGCGGAACTTGACCAGAGATTCACGAGGCTAGTGTCAACTTGAAGGGCTTTATATATAAAATTTATTAAAATTTATGAAATCTCATGAAGTCTCGCAACCTTTGGAAATGGAGCACGGACATTTTACACCTTCAGAAGTACAGTACGAAAGCTTTAGCTTCAGAGTCAGATGCGAAAGGCAATGACTGCAGCTTCGTGTTGCTTTTTATCCCACATCAGTGTGCACAGACTGTCGAGGTCGTTGGTGCTGCCTTCCTGGTCAGACTTCTTCTCAGTGCAAAGATAGTAGAAGCCAACACCGTGAGATTTGCATCATTTGCATTCAGATCAAATGGGTCGCAAAAGCTTCGCCAAACCCCTTTGAGTCTGAAACACAGGCCATGCAAGCTGAGACGGTGGAAAGCTTAGACAAAGTGGGAGAAAGTCTGGAGTCATTCTAGATTCTAGATTCTAGATAAATCTGAGAGAAACCACCAACCTGAATACACATCACCGGTTAGGAGTACATGCTGTTTGAATAGCCGTCATAGCCTTGTTGGGCGCTAGGACACTCTTGGGGAACGCTCTTGCAAGATACCGTTCTGAAACCGATCTGGGCATATACAACCCTTGAAACTCCACCAAATGTTGCGCCTGTTGCGTAAGATAACACACTCACGGTGCACAGCGCTTACCACGCAATTGGCACTTCGTTACTCCTTTTGCAGCAACTCCACTGCGATTGGCCAAGAAACACGCAACACAATGCGTCTAAAATGCTGCACCTGCCACGAGAAAACTCAGAAAGACCATGTGAAAGTGATTATTGTGTATTGTTGCGTATGCCGCACAGAACGCAAAGTCACACTGAAGCAATCACACATGAAACCATCACTGCATTGCGTTTTACACGCGTTTTAGAAACTTATACCAACTCCGACGCGACACGGTGCAGCATTCCCCAGCTGCACGGCCATAGGGTACTCACCACAGACGGTGGCAAATGGTTGCAAACTTTTGCGAATGGTTGTGGACGCAAAAGCAATGTCGAGTGAACCGGGTAAGCGCCCAGAGATTGACGAGAACATTTCATAAGATTTTGCTTTGCATTTGGGAACAATACGAGGTGTGAAGAATGTGGGTTGTGCCAGTTGTGCCTGTGTGATTTGGTTTCGGAGGTGGAGTTGACAATTTGTTGTGCTCAGGCCGGCCGATGACAGGCCACGGTCGCGACGCAGAGCGCGTCGAAGGTCCAGGTCCAGGTCAAGGTGAGGTGCTGGCTTTGCATGAAAGATGCACTGTGAGCATTTGCGAGCACTGACCCTTGGCATATTTTGGCTTGCTGCATGGCTCTTACGTTATTTTACGTTTTTTAAGGCACACTTCTCAAGTTTCTTCCCTAGTTAAAACTATCAGTTTGGATGTCATGCCTCCAGAAGAATGTGGACAGATGCTACTGTCAATCCAAGGACCTGTTTTGGGGATCTTTTAAATTGCTTTTAATTTTTGAGCAAAAGTTTGGCAGGCGACGACGCTCTCGAAGACGCCGCTCTGGACGTTCGGAGAGGAGGCTGGGAGGAATTACGTGCAAAATCTAATGTGGTGCTTTGATGACAGCAAATTCTTTATTTGTGTCATTGTTGCTATGATATTTTTTTGATATTGTAATCGTTCAATGCGTGAAAATGATTTGGGAGTGTTTTTCACAAGCAGCAAAAGTTAGCCAGTTTTGTTAGGCCAAAGCGCCGGAGAATATCAGAAGGTACGTTGCGTTTGAGGGCTGTGCCAAAAAGCCAACAGGTAGAGGCGGTAGAGGTCCCACACTTTCTGGCATTCAAACGATTGCGAATGTGTCTTGACATTCTGATGCCAGGCCACGGGCGGTTCAGACACCGGTCAAAAGAGGATTTACAGGGAAACAATTTGAGAACGTTCAAACAGGTTGAGACAACTTGAGCGTCTCTCCAGCGAGCTCTTGGCAGGACCTTGCAGCCAAAAACAGTTCGCAACACAAAGAGGCGTTGCCCCGACATCCTTGGATTCTTGTTGCATCTTGCTGCATTTTTGCGACATTTTCAGACCTGTTCGTAAGAATTATTGTACTTGTGGAGATCAGCTCGTAAAATAGCATCTCACAATAGCATTTTTTTGGAGGGATACTAGAATGCTCATGTTCAGCCCCGTCACGGTCATAGGTAAAACGGTAAAAGGTATGTCACAGACCGACCCAAGTTGCGCAACCAGTATAGGGTGTGTTTGCTTGCTTTGGGCTTTCGAACCGAACCTAGGTTGAGAAGAAGGACCAGATCCCAGAATTTATGGAAGCTGAGCCAGACTTTGAGGATTCGTCTTGCATTAGGAAATCCGACAATTTCAAGCTATGCTTTCCACGACGTTTCTTGCTTGAGCCGAAACTTGTGCATTTAGTCAAGGAGCCTGTGTGGAGCCCAACAAGTTCAAACGAGCATCAAGTCACTCAGGAGACCACCCCGTTTCTGATTTGCGCCTCCTGCGCATTATTGATCATTCTTGCACATTGCTATCGTGTCTTGCCATGTGTCAGGCTATTCCGGTGAAGCAAGAGTTGGGGCCCTTTGAGTTTGTTCACTTGGTTCGCTTGGTTCGCTTTGTTTGCTTTGTCTGGTGCATCGAGATGCAAATCGATGGCCCGTGAGTTGACAGCTGTGACGTTTCAACAGATTTCACTCGCACCATCTCGCACCTATGAAACGTTTGAGGCTTCCTGAGGCGATGCAGTTCGAAGGCCAACGTGCCATGATGTGTGCTTTGTCGTGGCTTTGTCCAAGTTCCTAAAATTTGCACCACTTCGCAGTTTTTTTGCACAGTCAAATGCTACTTAGTAAGACTTGAATGCTTGCTGCATCTTGCTGCATCTTGCTGCTAGGTGATGCAGCCGTTCATCCAGATGAGGTTCTGAGCATCGCGGCATCGCGCTAGCTTAGCCATCTTAGCCATCTTAGCCATCTTAGCCATCTTAGCCTCCTTGTGCACATGTGACCATGCTGCGAGGAGCACACCCTGAAGCTAAAAGAGGGACCTGGAAGGAGTTCACTGAGTTCACTTTCCAAGGAGCGTCAACCTGCGTCAACTCACGCGACGTGGGCAGCTTCTGTGCGGTAAAACCACTAAGGACCAGATTTTCCCAGTTGGATGTACAGTACCCTGAAATTCTGGTACCTTAGACCTCTGAGGACTATTGGGTCTAAATACGCTATGAGCAGACTACTGATGGGGTCTGGTACTTTTGGTCTTGGCACCACCAAACTTTCAGTATCTATCTATATTATACCATTTTTGTGTACCTCTTGGCTTTAAGCAGATTATATAATATATAATATCATATATAATATAATATAATATAACATAATATAATATAATATAATATAGTATATATAATTATATATATATAATAAACGTAAATATCATGTCTTCGGATGGATCAAACTCAGGTCAAGTGGGGCTAACTGGTTTGATTTGGTTTTGTGCCAGTGCCGGTCCACTTTTGCAAGCTTTCTCCACTGCGAAAGGAGGAGCGGTTTCTATGCTTCTGGCACAACAGATATCGTGCTCCTGCTCTTTCAGAGATACGTCATAGAGATTTAGCATACACGTCATATGCTGCTAAAACTATGTAAGATCTTATAAGTACAACCAACAGCGCTTGGCCAGGGACACGGAGAAATGTTCGCCGTTTGAGCAATGAGCCAGACAGGTGGGTCTGTAAAGACGAGGAGCCTCAGTGATCGACCTATATTGGGATCAGTCATTTTCCATCGTCAGTGATTGTGACGGTACATAGCCGGTGAAAATCGGCGAAATAATGAATTTCTACTGCTTCTGCTCTGCCGTTTCAAGTGTGCTATGTGAGCTCTAGCAAAAAATGCAGGATCCATGCCTCTTGGAAGGTCAGCGAAAACCCAGGCAACGGCTGGCAGCAGAATTTGTTTCTTCTTATATTGACGAGCAGACGCCAGTAGGCCTGTCAGCGGCTTGTCCACATTTTTAATGGAAGCCACCAAAAAAAAAACAAGGCTTATAGGGTGGCCTGAGCATCATTTCAAGAAGAGCAGCAACAATACAAGTAGAACCCGCACGAGTCGGGTGGCGGAAGTTTCCAGCAGCAAGGAATGTTACACTATAAAAGACAAATTTTGCTAATAGGAGCTGGGGGGAAGCCTCACATCTTCTCAACTCTTTTCTGTGAGTTCGTTCGTCCTCTTCTTGTTTCAGTCTTGTCAACTGTGGCAACGACTTCTCGGCTCTTTGCAGCTCTTCTCATAGGCCTCGGTTCTTTTCAATTCTTTTCACAACTTTTCTCAGCTGTTCTCAACGATCTTTGCACCTCTTTCCAGATCTTTCCGCCTCTTCTCAACTCTTCTCATGACTTCTCGCTTCTTGTCAACTCTTCTCAACGATTCTCATCTCTGTCCACCTCTTGTCAATTCTTCTCATGGCACAATAGAATTATGCACAGTCGCAACACAAATTACGCACGCAGCCGCAGCAGCGAGGAACCTCGAGGCAGCCATTCCACGGCGATCTACAGAGACTGCAAAGCGCAATAGAAGTACGCGCAGCGGCAATGCAAATTGCAGCTCCAAAACCGGATCTCGGCGCCAAAGCGAAAAAATACGATTTTGGAGCACTTTTTCAAGGGATATTAAACGGAAAATCATCAGCGCCAAAACGCAGAAACATCTGGTGCCAAAGCATCACTCGCAACCTTCATGCAGCCACGAAGATACGATTTACGACTCTCAGCTGCAAAAGGCAATACTGTAGTATTATGCACAGCAGAGAAAAGCCTTTACGCAACCACTCCACTGCGATTTGCAGACGCTGGGTTGCAAAACACACTGGAGTTACGCGCAACGGTAGCACAAATTGCAGCTCCAAAACCGGATGCCGGCGCCAAAGCGAAAAAAGACGATTTCGGAGCACTTTTTTAAAAATAAATTTTAACAGGAAAATCATCAGCGCCAAAATCCAGAAGAACCTGGTGCCAAAGCGCCATTCCCAACCTTCATGCACAGCCACTACAATGCGATTTACGACTCTCAGCTGCAAAAGACAATAATATTACACACGCAGCCACAGCAGCGAGAAGCCTTGACGCAACCACTCTGAGCGATCTGCAGAGACTGAGTTGCAAAGCACAATGCAACGCAGCCGCAGCAGCGAGGAACCTCGACGCAGCCATTCCCCTGCGATCTGCAGAGGCATAGTTGCAAAACGCAATATAACTACGCACAACGGCCACACGTATTGCAGCTCGCCAAAGCGAAAGAAAGACGATTTTGGAACACTTTTTAAAGGGATTTTTCAAAGGAAAATCATCAGCGTCAAAATGCAGAAACATTTGGTGCCAAAGCATCATTTGCAAGCTTCATGCAGCCACTACAATACGACTTACGGCTCTCAGCTACAAAAGACAATAGTGTTACGCACGCAGCCGCAGCAGAGTCAAGGCGTTGACGCAACCACTCTGCCGCGATCTGCAGAGACTGAGTTGCAAAGCACAATAGCACAGCATCAACAACAAGAGACAAAAGGGCACCTCGAGACCTCAGTGCCAGATTCGACGGCAAAGCGGCGACGCGCGCAACCATGGTGCAAGCGAGGCAACAATTCTCCGCAACGGAACGTCGGTTTACCCGAAAAAACACAATGTTTCGTGCAAATCCTAACAGTCAAATCTCATCTTGGATGTGTAGCAGTTCCAAGGCGATCTAGCAACAGTGAGTTGCAAACGACAATAGCATCACAACACATTACTCAAGAACAAGCACCTTTTGAGATACCTTGCCACAGCCACTCCACTGCGATCTGCAGAGCCTGAATTGGAAAACACCATAGCACAGCATCAGCAGCAAAAGACAAAAAGTCACCTGGAGACCTCAGCTACAGCGTGCGCAAAATTCGAGCCAGATTCGACGGCAAAGCGGCGACGCCCGCAACTGTCACGCAAGCGAGGCCACAATTCTCCGCAACGAAGCACCTCTTTACCGGAAAAAACGCAATGTTTCGTGCAAATCCTGACTAACAGTCAAATCACATCATTGATGTACCATTGATGTAACAGTTTCAATGAGATTCTCTTTCAGGTACTTCTCTGCTTGGCACATGCCAACTGGACTTGATGATCTTTTGAGCTACTTCTCTACTTCAGGCACATGCCAACTGGACTTAATGATCTTTGGAGCTACTTCTCTACTTCAGGCACATGCCAACTGGACTGAATGATCTTTGGAGCCACTTCTCTACTTCAGGCACATGCCAACTGGACTTAATGATCTTTGGAACTACTTCTCTACTTCAGGCACATGCCAACTGGACTTAATGATCTTTGGAACTACTTCTCTACTTCAGGCACATGCCAACTGGACTTAATGATCTTTGGAACTACTTCTCTACTTCAGGCACATGCCAGCTGGACTTAATAATCTTTGGAACTACTTCTCTACTTCAGGCACATGCCAACTGGACTTAATGATCTTTGGAACTACTTCTCTACTTCAGGCACATGCCAACTGGACTTAATGATCTTTGGAACTACTTCTCTACTTCAGGCACATGCCAGCTGGACTTAATAATCTTTGGAACTACTTCTCTACTTCAGGCACATGCCAACTGGACTTAATGATCTTTGGAACTACTTCTCTACTTCAGGCACATGCCAACTGGACTTAATGATCTTTGGAACTACTTCTCTACTTCAGGCACATGCCAGCTGGACTTAATAATCTTTGGAACTACTTCTCTACTTCCGGCACATGCCAGCTAGACTTAATTATATTGTGAGCTACTGCTCTACTTAAGGCAAATGCCAGCAGGACTTCATGATCTTTTGGGAAATGCTATTGTTCACTTTCCGCAACTCGGAATTTCCTCAATGAAACTTCTTTTGACTCATGTGTCATAACGAAAAGCAATCAAAGACGGAATTACCGAATGGTATTCTATATTGGTGTCGTTGTTTTATACTTGTTTCATGAGAGGCCAGACCATCACCACATCATGTGTAATCAAGTTCATCCCTTGGCCAGTTGAATTTCAGCAGAGCAGGCCTGGGAGCGCCTTGCAGACGTTGAAGCAGAAATTGACCAAGACGGGAACAATGAGAACCCGGCCCAGCAAAGGCCCTATCGTTTTTGGCAGATGAACTTCCAAGGCAACATGCAAAAAATATCAAGTACTCAGGCGGACCTAGGAGATAAGTCTGACAAGCTTCCAAAAACATGATTATCTGCATCATTAGCGAACAAAACTGGTGCTTGGAGGCTCTGGGTCGCGCCGCGGTGTAAAACGCACCACTGCTCCCAAGCTGAAGCCTCACGAAATGTTTGTGAGTCGTACAGTACTGTATAGGAACGGAAATGTACGAAACCATTTTTGTGCCTTTTTGTTCAGTCACCTCTGTCCTCCTCCTGATCTGCGTGTGACTCCCGACTCTGAGCCCAGTTTTTTTATTCTTCATTTTTCTGCACTTCCGCTAGATTTGAAGTCTCATTCCGTCGCAACCTGTCGCAACTTCCACAGAGAGAAAGAGAGAGGGCTGAGAGACGGCTTGACAGCTCGTTCAGATCGGAAAGAATCCACCAGTCTTTTGATGACAAAAAGGAATGAAACAAAACAGTCTCTAAGGTTGGGTCGCTTTGCAAAAGGTCAGGTGTCCGCGCCAGCGTTGCTTGGCTAATGGTTTGACACGGGTTGGCAAGAACTTTTGCAAGAACTTTGCAACTTTTCATCAGGAGTTCCGTCGGTTCGTTCAATTCTTCCAGTTCTCCAACCTGTCGCAGGAGGCGGTCTGAGGCATTGAAGTCTTCAAAGACATCGGAGGCGCTTTGCAATTTGTCATGTGGTCTAGCCGTTTAGCTTCAACCCTAACACCTCAAACAAGCGCAGGAGTGGGTTCAATGTGTACAGCATGGGCTTTCTACTGAGATCGCTGAGAGCAATGTTGCATTGTGGTTTGTGAAGATGAAACAAGATAAACAGACAAATCAAAGCAGTGTCCACATTTCAAGCTTTCAAGGAAATGGCGCTGCCGCGATTTGCGTTTGCCTCAGAGGCTGGCCTGTTTGCCTGGCAGTAAGACTTCACGTTCCGAGGATGGCACGCAATGTGAAGGGCGAATGGGTGTGCACCGGGGATGACCGTTGCAAGGCGTGCATTCTTCAGCTGCTAGATTGGAATTGGCGCATAAAGATTTCATTTCATGAACTCAGTTTCCAAACTTTTGTAGACACAGATTTCAAAGAGGACTTACTCAGCAGTTTTCCCAAAGCTATGTAAAGCTCACTTGTTTCTTTCCCATTTGTTGCGTTGTGCCTGTGTCATGCAGCCAGGGAGTTGACAAAGGCTTGTCCTCAGGCACATGGGACAGCTGGGTAGTCAGCGTAGGGAAACCAAAATGAAAGCTAACAGCATAGAATGCATGTCATTTGATGACATTTGATGTAGAATGCTGAGAGATCCAGCTATTGACGAAGTATTTGATGCGGGTCTGGACAACAGATCCAAACGTGCAAAGAGGCATGTCCCCTGCATGTCTGAAAGGTTTCCCCAGAAGCCCCTCCCGGGGCATCCACTTCGAGGCATTGTTCTGTCACATTGGCTCGTTTCATGTTGGTCCACCGCTTTGATTTTTACAATTTCTTTCAAGTTCATGCCATTTCCACTGGCAAAGTGGTACAGGCGAAATCCACACAGCCCATTCGTACTGGTGGCCGAAGCCCAAGCACTGCATTGATGGATGCCATAACTGCACAACCTGGATCTCAAAGGAAACCTTGTGCCACTTGGACCTCAAAGGATGAAGGCCGACCTGGATCGCCATGAAACCATTTCGACACATTTCGCCACATTTTGCCACAGAAAACTCTTGGACATTGCAACTGCGGAAGCCAACTGCAGGAGGAACGCTCTCCGAGTAGAGGTGATCGACGAGGCTGTCTGCTTTTGGCCTTCTATCATTGGTTTTGGTACCTCATTCTTCAAGCGCCTCACATGCAACGTTTGGCAAGTTGCATCGATTTGTTGGCAAGGAAGCGATACAGAGACCATGGAGCTTTTGGAAGAAGAGAGTCTGAACCTCAATTTCGAGAGTCCAAATTTTGACCAGGACTTTTGTGGTACCATAGATGGTACGACTGGAGAGCAATTTCCTGGCAGGTACAGCACAGCTAATGAAGCAAAGACCTGAGTCTGTTGACTTCAGTGGTTTGCGGCATTGTGGAGTCAAACTCCTTACAGTGATGTATGGGTGGCTATGGCTGCTTGAATGAGGAATGCAAAGCCAACTTCAGCCCCAACATTGAGCTCAAAGCCCAGTTCCAAAGTGAAGCTGATTATGACAGATTCTGAAAGATATATAAGATATATACATGGTGTGTCAGCTGCCCAAGTTCTTCTGGGCTATGACTGCTGAACTGTTAAGCAAAACGGGGCTGCGGAAATATTGTTTCTTGGGGGACCATGGGCCTTTCAATAGAAATTGTAGCATCACTAGTGAATAACTAAAGGCATCTAGGGGAACAAAATCCCTGCACTGTATGACCCATGACTGCATGCCTTGCTTTCCCGTCCTGATTTGCTGTGGTCCCCTGCCTCGATCCTCCTCTATCCCTTGTTCTTGAATCTCAATCTCTCAATGCCACCATCAATTCTTGTGAATGCTGTTGATTGCTAGGGTTGGCATGGCACATGCATTGTAGTGATGCGAATGGCCCCAATCCCAGTTGTACAGCGCTTGATCCAAATAGGCATACGCTATGCAGGTGGCGGAAAACGCTTAGGTGCAGCACTGCCGCGTCTTGTTGCATCTACAGTGGCACCGGAGCCTGAATCGCTTCGCATTGGGGACCTATGGCATTTGCTCGATCTACGCTCTGCCTTTTGACTTTAACTGCGTGCTGGCTTGGTGTGACATCCTTTCATCTTGGTTGCGAACTCCTGCGGGGCAAGGACTGGGTTGAGAGTTGAAACACTTGGTTAGCAAAACCCCGGGGGTTTAACTGCATTCCTTCGTTTAAAAGTGGGAACTAGTGTCAGTTGGACACCCTGAGCCTGTTTCATTTCCTGTGGGGAGACATCTTTTGCGAGTTCATCTCTTACGTGATCAAAAAGTCATTATTTACTGGATTGCCCATTTTGGGCCATGGAAGAAGAGAAGGGTACGAGTATAGCTGGTATAAGGTGCCGACATGGGACGGATCTCCTGCGACTTGGAGATCATGTCGCCGAGAAATGTCTTGGTGGGTGGAATCCTTGGACCTTGAACGGCCCATGAAGTACAACTTAGCTGCTAGATGGTTCCTGAGGCAATCGGGAGTGGTGCGTCAACGTGGTGAGGAGTTCACGCCGAAGGAGCTTGAAGCGAAGAAAGCTATCAAAGGCATTGGCCCTGCCACTGGCACTGAGGTTGTGCTGCAGGAAGCCGGTTCCCTTTTTGGATTGAACAAACTTCTGGATGCCCTGGAAGGTATCAATGGCAAGGGCGAGCTGGACAAGAAAGGTGAACTGCGAGAGCAGTTTTACAATTCACTCAAGAGAAAGCCTGGTGAGCGGATTAGTGAGTTTTGCACTCGTTTCCGCACTGTTGCTGCTGATTTGCGATCTGAAGGGATACAGTCGCCTGGTTTTTGCGTGAGAAGGTGGGAAGCAGCTGTCAGGGAACTGGTGGGCCCCGCGGAGGTTTGCCAACTCTCCGTCAAGATTTGCTCAAGTTGGCCGCGTTTCTCCACATAGAGGTTGCCGAGAAGGACGCAATACTGAGAGAAAAGCGTCGTCCCGTGGATTTGTTGATGCCAAAAGGAGCCAAGTTGAAGCCGGAAGCCAAGGAGGGAGCCAAGCCTTCTCAGGAGACACCTGTGCCAACGGCCGCGGCCCAGTTGGCAAATGGCCCATCAAAAGCGACTCCTGTTCAACATCAGCTGCCGGAGACTCAAGAGAATGTTCCTCTTCAACAAGTGCAGCAAATGATGGCTGCGCAAGAAGCTCGTTTCCAGACCATGCTCTCACAGGTCTTCCAGCACGTCATGAACGTGCAAGGAAATCAGATGCTGCCACCAACGTCGACCGAGCCGCCAGACGAGCACCTGGGTCCTTCACAGTTGACAGCGGAGGAAGACGGACCGGAAGAGGCGCATGGAGATGGATGGCGCAGTGGAACTTTCGGAGGAGGAAATCGCTCAACTGCATGCCGACTACTATGCAGAGATGTGGCAGCAGCGTGCGGCAGGGAGGAGCAGCCTTTGCCAGCGACCACATGAGTTAGATGGTGATGGACATGAATGGTCTTTGCAAAGGCAAAGAAAGCAAGGTGGCCCAGATGATTTCTCAAGCTTGGACCCAGCATGAGAATGACCGCAAGCTGATTTCTCTGTCTCCAAAGGAAGTTTTCGAAGTGCTGCAGGTTCAATGCTTGCAAGACATTGAGAAAAGGCTCAATGAAGCTTTTGTTCGCGCTGTGAAGCCGCTTGTCAGTGAGGTCTACGCTCACACCCAGCGGGTAAGCAAGGAAGCTTCCCGCAGAGGCCACAAAACTGGCACAGCTTTGTCCTTGGAGACGGGATTCAACTTTTTGCTGTAGAAAGATCGCGAGAGAGCCAAAGCCATTGTCCGGAAGGAGCGGGCTTATTTCCTGATGATTGCTTTTCCTTGCGGACCCTGGGGCCCTCTGCTTCGTTTGAACCCAAGGGTCAATTTGCATGAGATCCAAGCTGAGGGTGAAGTTTTACTGAAATTTGCTCTGGAACTGGCTGCGATTCAAGCTGACGGTGGAGGACACTACCTGCTTAAGAATCCTCAACCTAGTGGCGCCTGGAAGCATCCCGAGATGGCCAAGGTTTTGGATGAGCATGACCACCGTTTAGCTTGTTTTCATCAGTGCAGATTTGGTTTGCGTGGAAATATTGGTCTTCACCAAAGGCCACGAAAACTGCCTCGTCCAGTTGGATTGCAAGCTGACTTTTGGATGGAAAGTCTTGCACTGGCGATCATGCTCACCAGCCGGTGATTGGTGGGAAATCTGTCACAGCCCCGGCTGTGCACTATCCTCACCGATTGGCGAAACTTTTGGTTGATGGTTTTGAGAAGCAGTTTGACATTGAGTATAACAAGGTTTCAAAGCCCAAGGATGTTGCAAAGTCCACGGAGGTTCTTGCTGTGGAAGAGTATGAGTTGGCTACTGATGATGAAGAGTCGTTGAACCTTGGCCAACCGGCTGGCGAAGATGATTCTGCATCGTCTGAGGAGGAGGAGAAGCCAAACATGAAGATTTCCGCTGGATTGAAGGCAGCCATCAAACGCCTTCATGACAACACACGCCATCATTCCAATGTCAGACTTGCCCGTGCACTTGCCATTTCAGGTGCCCCAGCGGAAGCCATTTATGCAGCCAAGCACCACAAATGCGATATATGTCAAGAGAAGAGACGGCCGAAAACACGACGTCCAGCTTTCCTTCCTGCGCCAAAGGATGCTGGAGATCAGGCCAGCATTGATTTGATTGATGTCTATGACTCCTCAGGCAACAAGTTCACTGCCGTGCGTGTCATCGACTATGCCACTCGTTTCCAACTTGCAGAGTTGTTGCCAAGGAAGACAGCGGCCAATGCGATCTCCTTCCTGAAGAAGCGTTGGCTTCCAGTCTTTGGATGTCCAAGGACGCTGGTGGCAGACCAAAGGAGAGAATTTATCAGCCATGAGCTTGCTGAGTTCTGCGCTGGTCACAGCATTCTCCTATGGCACTGCGGCTTTGGAGCACCATGGCAAAATGGAGTTTGTGAAAGAACTGGAGGCACACTTCGTGTCATTCTGGCATCAATGGTCAATGCGCGCCAGATGCAAGGTTTCGATGAGTTTGAAGAAGCCCTTGGAGAAGCTGTTGGAGCTTCCAGCTCCGATATCAATGAGCTTGGAGTGAGTCCGGGGCAAGCAGCCTTAGGAAGACAGCCAAGGATGACTGGTGATGTTTTGGGCAGCTTTTCTCAGCATCTTGCTGAACATGGCCACATCGACCCCAATCCGTCGATGGCACGCCAATTAGCCTTGCGTGAGACAGCCAAGGTAGCCATGACCAGGTTGCATTTTTCCAGAAGCATTCGTCGCGGTGAGCTGGCGAGATCAAGGGCACCCATAGAGGGATGATGTGCCTGAACCTGGTTCAATTGCCTATTTCTGGCGAGCCCAAAAGTACAACAACCGCAATCAGCCGACCCGAAAGCGTCTGTCTTTGAGAAGGTGGCATGGTAGAGGTTGGTTGTTGCATGTGAAGGGGCCAACGTGTACTTGAGCTACAAGGGGCAATTGACAAAGTGTGCTGTCGAACATGTACGACGCGCATCCACCATGGAGCAGCTTCTTCTACTTGGCGTGATGTACTTTAAGAATGTGTTGAACAAGTAATTCATGATATGACCGAATCTGACATTCCTGGTGCAGTGACTCCTGAGAAGATGTTGCAGCAACAGCAGCCGCAAACACCACTTCATGAAGCTGCTGCGGAACAGTTGCCGGATGTTCAGCCCAGCGAACTTGTTGCTGCCTTGCAAGGTGGTGAACAAATTGGTGGTGGAATGAGCTCTATGGTTGCTACACAGCCGTGACACACCTACGGGTGCTCCTGGTACACTTGTGCCAGACCTCATCTTGCAAGCGAGACCTGATTTGGAGGCGAGAATGCGACCTCTCTTCAGCAGAGCAAGGACGTTGGAGGAGGAAACTGAACAAGGTCAAGGAGAGAAAAGGCCTGCTGAAGTTGATGTGGATGCTCTACATCAGCAATCTGCCGAAGCCAGAGGATCTGACGATCCACTTCCTGGTGCGAGTCCTTCCGAAGCATTGCAGCTGGAGGCCAATGAGATTCTTGAAGCTCCTTCAATGTTGACTTCTGGCGTGCGCCCGCTTTTGCAATTGCAAGCCTCGGCGGAACTTGATCGCCGAGATCCTGACCGCGTCAAGCTGAAGGCGCTGGGCATGTCCTCTGGTTTCTGACTGGAAGACTCGCAGCACGCTTGGACTTCCCTGGCCACCTGGACGCCATGAGTTTGAAGTTGACGCAGTTCAGGCAGCCAGGAAAGAGTATCACTGGCGCAATATGACAGCTGAGCACAAGCGTGAGTCCGTTGAAGTCTTCAGTCCTGAGGAAACCAAGTTGGTGTGGCGCGAGCTGAAGAGGAAGAATGAAACCTTCAAGGTCCTCTATCCTCGATTTGTTTATACAGACAAGAATGATTGATAGAGCTTGCACCGTTGACAAGGACCTGCCGATCTTGGCCTCAGCCAGACTGGTTGTTCCAGGATTTCGGGACGTGACGTCCTACACCATCCGAAAGGACGTGCCAACAGCATGTAGAAACTCACAGCACTTTTTTGTTGATCTTCACCACAGCTGTTTGTATCACAAAGGCTGGAGGCTGTTGAGCGCAGACGTCAAGGCTGCGCTTTTGAAGGGTGATGCGTATATTGCTGGTCTATGTGAACTTTACATAGCAAACATTCGCACCAACAGCCCTGATGAACCGCGCTTGCCTTTTGGAGACGGTCTTTGCAGAGGGGTGTTTGGCTTGAGCGATGCTTTGGAAGAAGGTGGAGGTAAGAGAAGTCATCTCGACGCTTTATGCTGGACTTTGAGAGATGAATGTGGTGAGTTGCGTGGCATCATTCGCAGCCACGTTGACGATTTGTTGCTGGGCGGTGATGCCAAGGGGCAAGAATCATTTGCGGATTTGGGCAAGGCAGTTGGGTTTGGAAGCTTGGACAGAGACGGCTTTACATACTGTGGCAAGCACATCTCCCAGGACTCTGAAGGTGTCATCAAGATTCAGATGTTTGAGTATCACAAGAGTCTCAAGCCTGCGATTGTAGCCGTGGGAAGGAGAAAAGAATTGAGCCCTCCGTTGACACCAGCTGAAACGAAGCAACTGCGAGCTTTGTTAGGTTCAATGCAGTGGTTGGTAGCCCAGCTTCGTTTTTATCTGCAATTTCAACTCTCCACTCTTCAGTCGGAGCTGCATGCGGCAGCAGCCCTCACCTTCTTGTGAAGAAGTTTAAAGAGTTTCCTGATTTCTGCTTGACGTTCAAACCGTGTGACCTGACCAACAGTGGAATCCTTGTCATTGCCGATGCAAGTCTCGGAAATGTGACGAGACGCGGAAATGTTGGCGAAGACCCTTTTGCCAGAGTTTGCAGTCAATCAGCATACTATGGTTTGGTTGCGGATGAGAAGGAGATGAAAGGTGAACAAGGGAACTTTGCAGTGCTTGATGCAAGATCCCATCGCATCAGTCGCACGTGCTGATCGACTTTTGCAGCAGAGCTTTACTCCACTGAGGAAGCACTTGGTGTTGGCACATATTGCAGAGGTGCACTTGCCGAGCTTCAAGGCAAGAACATCAAGGGCAGAATGATTGAGGCTGTGCTGGAGACAATCCCAATGATTGTTGTCACAGAAAGCAAGGACTGTTATGACAAAGGGACTTCAGATACTCCATCCCTTGGAAGCCAAAAGAGTTTGTGTTTCAGCATTGCGTGGATCCGAACCCAACTGGCAAAAGAGCGAACTTGAAGTGGACCAACACTGAGAACATGCTCGTTGACAGTGGAACTAAGGAAATGTCTGCAGAACACGTCCATGGCATTCTTTCTGAGTGTCGCTGGAGCCTTCGCTACAGCCCGGACTTCGTCAAGCAGACGATCAAAGCCAAAAAGGGTGGCACGAAACCGGCAGAGTCTCTTCCTACGATTGGTGGGCCGTTAGATTCTTTGCAGTTTTTCATCATTTGCTGCGTTTAGGAGATCAATTCGGCTGGCATCTCAAAGATGACATGGCATTTCAAGTTGCCAAAGATGCCAAGTCCTATCGGACGCCGGTCCCTAGATTTAGCCCTAGCGAATATCCTTTGCGTAGCAGTTGGTCGTTTTGATCGGGCGAATGGCCAGGCTGAATGGCGTAGGTTAGAGAACAGGGTTGAATATGGACTGCTGGCCAAAGACAAGGACAGATTGGTGCAGTGCCGAATGTGCTTGTAATTTTCCATCAGAAACCGGCCTCTACCAAAAAAGAAGGAGAATCCCCTGTGAATGCTGTTGAGTGCTTGGCATGGAAGAGTGACACAGCACATGCATTGTAGTGATGCGAATGCGCGCAATTACCTGATGGCCTAATCCCAATTGTACAGCGCTTGATCCAAATAGGCATACGCTATGCAGGTGGCGGAAAACGCTTAGGTGCAGCACTGCCGTGTCTTGTTGCATCTACATTTCTTAATAATTCTTGTGTTGTTGTTAGTCTTCTCGGAATCCTCGCTGCTTCACAGCCTTGTCGCTGCCTTGTCAGGGTCCAGGAGGAAAAGTGGTCAAAATCTTGCAACCGCATTTGGCCCTACTGTCCTGTTTACCTTCCATTTCCTTCATATGCTGAATCAATTTTTTCCTTGCCATCACAAGAATTCTTGCGATCCTCCTCTAAGAACCACATCCCTGCAGATCATCCCTTCCCCAAGCTGTGTATGCAGTAGGTTTTCTACGCGATTCCAAACACCCTTGGATTCTGAAGAAAGGGCAATGCGAGACTCCAGAAACACTTCGGATGCCAAGGCATGCGCATGTGTGCTGTACACAAGAAGCTTCGCCATCCTGAAAGACTTGAGAGGCATTTCATAGCCTTTGAGCCTTTGTGTCGTAAAGATGATAATGCCATGACAGTGCCACGACAGTGGAGAGTTGTGCAGTAGCTGAATCGCAGGGCCTTTTGGAGAAGTAGCGCTTCAAATTTGCTCAACAAAGGATCATCCAAAGAAACATGCTGACAGAATCTGACGGATATGACGATAACAAACTCTGGTACTTTGGTTTGCTAGCATGAAGGAAATGAGTCTACTCCATTTCAAAAATTGCTAGGGAACACGGAAACCATGACTTGACAAACAAGTCCTGTTGTATCTATGCAAAGTGGATCTAGCATGATGTAGTGATTTGCGTGCTTTCTGATGGCGATCTAATGCACCACCTAAGCACTTTGATTGGTTTTGGACTCGGCTTTGTGTCTGGTGAAACAGGTGTGGCCGTGGATGGGTTTGCAAGTCCTCCGACAGCTGCAGGACTTGCGATGGTTGCGCGTCAGGTTTTGTGTTTCACAGTTGTTTATCCACAGTTTCTATTGTAGCATTGTGGAGCCTTTTCCTCGCTTCTTGCAACAGATAGGACACATAATTCAGTAAGAGGCATTTATGCTTTTGGATACATTTTGGATAGTTTTTGGATACTTTTGGGATGCTTTTTGCTTGTTTTTGACCAGGGTGGGAAATAGACTGGAAGCTGCACCAAGTGTTGCATCAGGTGATATTTTGGGTTCCATTTTTCTTTCCTTCAGAAAAACTTCTTGGAACTAGTTGAAGTCGATGACTGTGGCTGAGAACTTCCGGGCCTAAGAAGCCAGAAAGAAGCGATGAAAGCCACGCAGAGAGCTCAGCTTGTGCCTTTCAAGACTCATTCCGGCAGTGTGGAAACAAATTCCGAAGTAGAGCTTCTTGTGGATTTTACGAGTTTTTGTTTGCTGAGTCTGAGGTGTGTGAAATTCACAATCGCGTGAGAACCGTGTTGGACTTGGCCTAACCTAATGATTCGAAGGAATCGAAGCATGGTTGGGATGGTGGTTCGGATGGACCAATAAGAAATGTGAAACTGGCAGGTTCAAAATATGGAGAAACGCCGGGATGGCAAGTGGATTTGCAAACCTGAGTGCAGGTGCCTGCCTCAGCTTAACTGGCTACGCTCCTCCACAGTATATGGAACGCAATCAGGTGGTTGAACAACAGTTGAAGTTGAGACTGAGTTTCAAAATGTCTCAAAACAGAGGAGACCTCAAACAGAACATGATGCAGACATCGTCAACTGGAGATACCTACATATGAGAGCCAGGCGGTCTCCAATCGAATGCCATGACACCAAGAGCATTCAACGCTTTGAGTGCGCTATGATCCCTCTGCGATTCAACAGTGGACTGAAGGTCCTCAAAACACAACACTTCCAACAAACGCGTCTGCGCTGCTTGCTAGTCTCAACCATGTGGTGGATACTGAATGGCAAGTCGTTGATACATGTACTGCTCCAACTTCATGTCAATGTAATCCCTGCATTCTTGGATGGTGTTTCATTTCAAGCTTTGCAAGCCCTCGCGTCATCAATCACAGCATTTATATACTGTACACATGAAGTGGGCAGTGTTGTGTTCAGCATGCGTCCCCTTCTGAACTCTTGATCATGACGAACTTCGCTGAGACTCTCAAGCAAAGCCATGATGAATCGCCAAAAACCATGCGGTACATATTTGTAGATCATCCATCGGACAAAACATACCATCGTGAAGTGACCATTGGCCCGGCATCAGCGCACCAATTTTGACTGGCTTTGATGTGCTACATTCGTGAGGTCCCATGGGTTTCTTCCAACAAAGGTGGAAAATGAACCTCCAACTCCAGCAGAACAGGGCCTAGCGACAAGAACCATATCATGATTGCAGAAACAAGCAGATACCTGCTTATAAGCTGGTGTTCATCCACACTTTGCGTGAGTGTACACATCAATGTCAATGTGTTTGCAGTTTGCACCTTCTAGTTCACAATGATCTCAATCTTTCGGGCTGGATAGGAAATTAAACATGCATTTGCGGTCCTTTTGTGCGACAAAGTTATGCAAGCTGAGGTGTCTTTCAAGCCGCAATTCTGAGCGTTGAGACAATAGTTGACCTCTACACCTTTCGAACGATCAATGAAAAACTACATGGCATATGCTAGTGCTACATTTTTCGTTGTCGTGCAAACTACCGGCAATCCACCTTTGAGATTGGTAGTCTTAGAATGATTCGGGACGAGCGTTTTGAAAGGGAGCAGAGGGTTGTGTTTCAACTGGATGCGGTACAATTCCATCAGAAAAAGATGCGAAACCACAAATCTTCGAATTAACTTTGAGCTCCTGCCTTCTCTTTTTCAGTTGATGCTGTCCAGACTTGCCCGGGCTCATCCGCACATCAAATTGAGCAGGATTTGTGGATGAAAGCCAGGCAGGACATTCAGAGGCGTGAGCGCCTTGGTACTTTAGCACTTCTGCACAATGGCTGTGACTGGACAGGCACAGCAGCCATGGCGCTCCGGCATGACACCTTGCAATGAGGTGAGACGCCAGGTTGGGAAGCTGAACTTGCAGCACGCTTCAAGGTGGCCCGGCCTCAAACTACTCAGTACCTACCCGAATGCTCTTGAAGTCTTTTGAACATTTCGGAAAGACAATGCAGGGACAATGCAGGAATTTGTATCAGATCCGTCTAGAGTTGCAACTGGTCTGCATGTTCCTACGGAGGCTTCTGACTGCTCCGAGTTTGAGGTGAAGGAAGCCTCTGGGCTCCTTGGCTGGATTCGTGCTGGCAAGCTCTGGCAAGCTATGGAAAGCTCACAAACACATAGCAAGGATTCTGCAAGGAGCATTGAATGTGAGTCACTGCTTTAGACTTGAAAATAACTCGCAACACTTTCACAGTATGTCACATGTTCTTTTTCTACATGGTCCACTCAGGGTAGATGAAGTCTGGGGTGCGTCGCAGCTGCTCACAGCCCGCGATTCGGAAGACATGACCTCGATTCCTGCAGATGACAGTGATGCGGGCGACGCCAATCCGTTCTTGGGTCTGGGGCTGATGTGCTTTGGCTGAAAGATTTTTGGCAATGGATGTGGAAAGGATTGGACAGCAACGGAGTGTAAGTTGGATCATTGCACCTATTCAAGCAGCTCTGAGATCCGGGCACTGAGCTCGCAAGGTTCCGCAAAGTCCTGCAAGTCTGCACATAGATCTGCATTGATCTGCCTTGATATTGCATGATACCTCAGACCAGCACACTAGATTTGTGCGCTAGAGCCGCTAGGCAAGACATGCTGTGCAAGCTCCTTTCAAGTCTTCATATGCTGTGAGGGCACCATTTCAACACTGGCCTGAAACAGTGGTACCCTTTATTGGCCTTTCCAATATTGGCACAAGACGAAACACATCATGGGAATGCCCGATGTAGATGTAGCCTCCAAAGCCGAGAAGAACCATCCAAACTTTCTGGGCGGAAAGTGACACCCTGTTGGTTATGGGTATGGGATGGCATGCAGGGCCTGCAGGGTATGGAATCCTGGCCATTTTGACTCTGCCTCTTCCATGTTTCATCAGAAATTGCTTGGGGCTGCGCCGGACAAACTGGGGCATATCCTTTTGTTTGCAAAGGAAGGTGGGGGGAGTGTGTGCGAAAACACCAAGCCAAGCAATGCCAACGGCCAAGCACCATGCGTTTTTTCTCACTCTTTGGAGTCATCCACGAAGTGTGTTTGTGTGTTGTTGTGTGTAGGGATAACAATGCGCAAGTCTTGCGGTGCTTCTACTTGTGAAGCCTTCCTCAACGTGCCTTGCACAGATCCATTGTGCATTCTCAGTGTTCGCATTTGTTTGCACATTCTCAGATCGATGTGATCCTGGTGGCGCCATCCAGCTCAGGCGGGCATATTCTGCGCTGTCTGCGGATGCCCCACTGACAGCCATCGCTACAAGTGACGAAGGTGTCATCGGCATGGCCCAAGTGAAGAAAGATGGCTACGCAATTTAGCAGCAATGAAGAGCTGTTTCTGTCAACGTCACCTGTGCTCCTGTGCTCACAAATGCCCCAGCCGATCAGTTTCTTTGCAACCACTGTCAACGTTGACTATCAAAGTTCACCAAAAATCACTTCAATGTGAACCACCTTGTGGCAGATGCCGCATGATGCTACGACATTACGAGGTGCAGAACCTGGTTGTCAAACCGAGTAGCCGACGCAAGGGAGTGGCGTCTCAAATAATTTGCTGGTGTGCCACGCAGTCAAGACGACGTGGGGCAACGCAATTATGGATGCACGCGCCATGGTCGCATTTGGATTATCTCAGGCTTGATACCCCGATGAAATGACACACACCTTCCTGACTTTAGTACGTATGCTGCAAGCGCTGCAGGCACTGCAAGCTTTGATCTGTGACATCCTCTGCTTGTTCCTCTCAGGTTGAGCCGGGCAATGAACCGGCACTGAATTTCTACCGACGGCTTGGTTTCGAGGCGTTCACAAAATATCACAGACCGATAGATAGAGTTGCAGGAGTTTTAAAACGAGACATTCTGGGTTTCTTCAAGTTTCTTCTGTCACATTATGTCACATTCACAAATTCCAATCTTCTTATTCCGTGGTGCAATTCTGACTACGACAGGTTGGCGAGGAAGAGATCTACAAAGAGCGACGGGCAGTGCGACTGACGAAGCATCTCTGAACAGATGACACTGGCAAAAAAATGTGAACTGCTTCCTAGTGGCTTGTTCAAGTTACAAGTTGGTATGATTTTCCATACGAGGACATTATACGTGACAACTGCTAGCTAAACAGCGCTGATCCTCAGGACCTTGAACTCAACTTGAACTCAACTTGAACTCCTTTTAAATATCCTTTGAGTTGCTTTTGCGCTTGCTTTTGCGGCTTTTGCGCTTGCTTTTCGGCTCTCAAGAACACGATTAGAACATTGTGAGTTCCATGAAGGAATCAGAAGGTCAGAGGCAGGACACGTCCACAGCGTGAAAAAAAGTACTTGTCTCAAGCCTTTGAATTGAGCATGCTCAAGCAGTTCCCCTATTCTGTTCCTGGCATGCTCACGTTTGCTTTACATCGCTGCTTGAAACTTAGTGTGTAGCATGACCGGAACGAGCATGAACACGTCTACTCCACAAGGACCCAAGTGTGTAGCCAGTCCTGCTACTCCATGCTTTGCGATGGGAAGAGAGGCCACAGTTCACAGCTCCCTCTCTCCGATCAGTGTAGCAACATGGGTACAAGATGTGACAACGCACTTGAACAATCCAGGTTGGTAGAACGCAGTTGCCATTGTAACTTGGAGCCAATTTTACGCAGGCGCTAGTGTGTCAGTCTGGGAGCACTTGCCTTTGATCTACTCAATCTGATGGTTCATGATTCATGATGATTCTATCCGATTAGCGAAGGTCAGCGTACTCTTAGCAGGTCATAGTTGCAGTTGCTGCTTTCCCACTGGACATCCTGACGACCACCAAGAGTCTCGAGTGACTCAGGAAGCGTGCTACACAGCTCTTTGAAAAGCTTGATGTTCGGCAATGCGGGTGGTTGGAGGCACTCACGACCTACAGACAGATTGTGACATATTTGGGTCCTGGTCCTTGCTCAACGCCGTTGAACCATATTCAATCAATATTCTTGAGGTGATTCTATAAATATCATTAAATATCTATAAATCTCTATAGGTTTCAGATGGTTTCATACTCTTGGGCTGGGAGAATTTCATTGCAGCCTTGCCAGCTCCGTGGGGCCACCAGAGCGCTGGCATCTTTTGGGCTTTCAAGCAAGGAGACGGTGCGCTGTCAAAAGATATAAACTTTATATAACTTTATTTAAACCATATCCACACCGAGAGTGTATGATAAATTAATAAAAAAATATGATCAATTAATACAGAATGAGAACATGCCTACACTTTCCAAACTCTTCCACTTTCCAACGCTTCATGAGAAATGAATGCTGAATTCTCCATTAGCTGACGGATACTGTATGCGCATGTACGCGCTACGAAGGAGCACGAAGGCATATTGGAGATTTTGGAGCGAGCGGCACGGTCAGGACACAAGACCTGGGGCCTTTGTGATCCTTTGTGACCGTTTAGGGCATTGGTAGTCGTAGCTCAGGCAGGCATTGCACTTGGAAGAATTTATAGAATATCTTTCTAAGATCTATTGAATAGCTTTTTTCCCCAACAGCGTAAGCTAATGGGGTCTTCAGCCCAGAAAAGCTCCGGTGTGCACTGGTGCAGGCGGTGGGGCAGTTCCAGAGAAGGTTCCGAAGGTTCCGGAGAAGGTCTGGGAGGCTTTGGTACAGAGCCAGGTCAGGTTCAACAGGGTTTCCGAGAAGGTTCCGAAGAAGGTCTGGAAGGCTTTGGTGCAGTACCAGGTCAGGTTCAACAGGGTTTCGGAGATTCTGGAGAAGGTTCCAGGAAGCCTTGGTGCAAAGCCAAGTCAGGTTCAACAGGGTTCCGGAGAAGGTCTGGAGAAGGTTCCGGAGAAGGTTCCAGGAAGCCTTGGTGCAAAGCCAAGTCAGGTTCATCAGGGTTCCGGAGAAGTTTCCGGAGAAGGTCGGGGAGCAGAGCCAGGTCAGGTTCAACAGGGGTCCGGAGAAGTTTCCGGAGAAGGTTGGGGAGGCTTTGGTGCAGAGCCAGGTCAGGTTCAACAGGGTTCCGGAGAAAGTTCCGGTGAAGGTCTGGGAGTCTTTGGTGCAGAGCCAGGTCAGGTTCAACAGGGTTCCAGAGAAGGTTGCGGAGAAGGTCTGGGAGGCTTTGGTGCAGAGCCAGGTCAGGTTCAACAGGGTTCCGGAGAAGGTTCCAGTGCTTGGCTTCGCAGCACGCTTCAGAAAGATTTGTAAAAATAAGACGTTGCGGCTGTTGGGGATACCACCGAAGCTTATTTTGATCTTTTTGCCTAGTGTGCAGACTGTCCCTGCTAAGCGGGAACCAATTTCCAAGCCTCAGGTGCTGGTCGGTCCCTGCATGTCTTGCCAGGAGAACGAGCAACTTTGCAGGGCCGAACAATAAGCCGAGCAAATTTTCTGAAGGCGAGCCATTGAAGCCGTAATCACAGAGATCTTGTCCGATCACAGAGATCCTCAAGTCAGTCTTGAACTGTCTTGAATGGCAGGTTTCTCTTGTTTCTCTTTGGATTTCTATCTGAAGCATCCTGAAGCCTGTCAGAGCTTGCAGGAAGCTGTGAGTCATGGTCCAGCCTGCTTTTCAAAATCCCCATCTCCAGCCTCTAAAGGCAGGAGATGTAGATCGATTTGATTTTTGCGATCAGCCAGAACCATCGACAGTGTTTCCTTGTGCTTCTACTTTGCTGCTGAAACTCCAGAGTTTCATGACGTGCTCTGAAGGTCCAAAGCCCTCAGCGTGGTCTCATCTTCGAGGTCGCCAAAGTCTTTCAGTGACCTTCGGGTGATTGGCTTCATTTTGCTCTTTCCAGTGACGAGGTGTCGTAACACCCGGTGCCAGACAGAGCCAGGTGGGACCATTTGGGAGGTGTTTGGTTTCCTGGAGACTTCCAATGCTATGATGACTTTGCTTGCAGTGATTTACTTCTTTCTGACTACACACTTGAAGTCATTTTGGTACATTGCAGGAAAAGGCACGGCGGAAAGACTTCAACCCCAAAATTTGTCCCTGTGGGCAGTGACACACACACATGGATTGTATCACTTGAGTGGATGAGACATTGACTGCCAGCTTTTTGGGGTCAAGTCCACCAATGCACCTCTGGGGTGCAGCTGAGCTCTTGCGTGAGTTCAGATTCCTTTGGCCCGTGAGCGATTGCGCAGGCCTTGGCTTAGGCACCGCCCTTTTGCTGATCGTGCTGAGTTGGCTGAGTGGACTGCTGACAGGCCTTCTGATCGCAGCTATCTGTTTCTCTCAAAGCTGTCGGAGGCTGCTTGCTCCCTCCGTGCCTGCTCAGTTCAGTGATCGCACGTTGCAACTGCGAAGCCGCCTCAGCCAATACCGGCAAAGTGAGTGAGCAACAAGGCTGTAGAAGAGCTCACCTTGAAGATGGGCGGGCTCGAGATTTCCGTGACGAGACGAGCTGATAGTTCTTCTGCAGAAGAAGCTGGTGAGAGTGTACCCCTTGCTGGCCGTAACGCCCATTGCTTGAAGCATCCTCTGCGGCGGAGATCCTCTCCCTGGATTTACAGTGCGTGGAGCATTTGCAAAAGCAGTTGTCAGCTGAGCAGTCAGGTTGGACTGCTTTGGCCCGGTTTGGTCGTGCAAAGTTGGACGGGGGGGGCAGCCAGGAGTGCTCCCCGGACCTTGGCCTGAGCAACCGCATCTACGTGGTGCTGCGCGGAGCTCCAGGCGAGGAGCCTTGCATTTGTCACAGTGCCCAGAGCTTTTACCAAGTTGTGCAGTCAGCTGGATCGCATCAGCTTCACCCCAGATCTGTGTCCCACGCCTTCCCCTCTCAGGCTGCTAGCGGAGGCGTACGTCCTTGGGTCAAGGACACTATGGCCGCTGGAGCGGCGGGCCTATAGCCCAAGCAGATGTTGAGTCCCGCGTTGTGGAAGTGCGGGGTCGTGGGCTGATGCCAACCTACCATTTTTTTTGCCGTGGCCGTAGACGGTACAGTTTTGTGGAGAGCACAATGCTATGTGGTGCGATACAGGGCTGGAGGCTTCATGATGATTCTGCCTGGTACCCATGAGCAGAGCTCTTGGACAAGTCGATGCGCTGTTGGTAGATTGCCCTTGGTCTGCTCTGGGCTTCCTCAAGCGTGCTGCAAGCCTGCGAGGCGACGCTGCCCAAAGCTTGGTGAAATTCATCCACGATGGGGTCACCTGTCGACCATCGCGGGAGGGAGCCGTGTTTGCTGCCGAAGCATGGATTGCAGAGACCATGGACGACGAAGCCGCAGGGGATTATGAATCTTGCGAAGAAGCTGCTGTCATGGAGGAGACCGCGGAGCCAGGGATCGAGCTGGGCCACGTGGAAGAGGTCGAAAGGCTTGAGGCTCACATTCAAGACTTGGAGTTGCAGGTGTCCCGTCTGAGCCAACAGCAATCATTGCCAGCTCAGCCCGCAGCAGTCCCGCAAGCCACAGTGGGTCTTCTTGGAGCTGTCCCCAAAGCAGGAGGCGTCAATGCCCAGGTGATGCAGCGTTTGCGCGACCTTGCTGGCGCCGGACCCGCACGTCTGGCTGGTCACGAGAGGCGCGGGCCACAAGAAGAGGGCGATCCATGCGAGACGGTGCAACAGGAGAAGGAGCTGGAAGCTGCCGATGGGGACGAGTTGGATCTTCTGACCGCCGAAGACTTTTTTGGACCCCATCCAGAAGCTCATGTACTTCCAGCTGAAGCAGATGTCATCCATGCCGCCTCAGTGCTCCGGGCGACTCGCGCAGCGGCTCGTCCAGCGGCATCAAAGGATGCCTGGCGGGGGAGGCCTGACAACTTCACAACTGACACCTTGTCTGCTCAGGGACTACCTCGAGAAGCGGGTGCCCTTCGGGGCAAAAGGGATGATGTTTGTAGAACATGCTGCTGCTTTGGACGACGGCAAGACCAGTTTATCATGGCTGTTGACAGGCCTTGCCGAACCCAACTTCGGCCAGGTGCAGCAGACTCGGGCCCGCAGCTCGGTCAAACCATTCAGCCGGCTGAGCAGTCCATCATGTCAGTTACCTCAAGATCCGAAGCAGCGACAAAGAGGCGCCCCGAGCT